TCTCAACTACGGGTACAACATTTTGCTGGTGGAATATATTCCATTAAAATAACCTACTGTACTACTGCTGACACTGTTAATATTTATTTTTTATTCGACAAAGAAAATAAACACCGGCATAAAATTAATAAATAATTAAATTTAATTTAAAATTAATAAATAATTCTTAATTGATAATGCTTGACACGTTGGCACCAAACACCAAAAATGCAGTTTAAAGGGTACGCTACCGTAGCTAGCTATTACGTACATTGAGTCAGTTGATCGCAGCGTATGTCTTAGCTTATTAACTGGGTCGTCTGCCTAAAGTTAAAGATGTTGAATTGCTTTAATGAATCCAATGACATATAATATAACACAAAATACTGTAAAAATATTAATATAATAAAGATATAATAAAAATAATAATGAACATGTAGCTGTATCTGTCAAACACAGTCATTCTTATCCACATCACAATTTTTTTTTCATTGATTTTACAATACGATGTACAGAGAGAAGGGATGGGCTAGAAAATTTAATTTCACTACAGCAAAATTAAAAATACATAGTAGGCCTATTCTAGACCAGATAAAAACTAGGTACCAGGTCTAACAAAGACAATTACATTATTAACCAGCTAAATAATGTTTACCAGTGGCAACACCACCAGAAAAGGGGGCTTTCAACGCTCGTTTCAAGGTAATACAATTCAACGCTAATACAAAACAACAACAGGTAAAATGCATTGTGATTTTTGCAATAATTTTGCCCAGTACAGTACTTTATAGTTGTACCTCATCAACACACAAAATTAATTCAGACCTAAAAACTCCTCCTAGTGTATTATTAAGCACATAATTGTTATCTGGTTTCCATGGTAACACTTCAACGAAAACTATAGCAATCTACAGTTATGGTTGGTAATTGAACTTGAACCTCTGTGGACTACTTTAAATTGTTAGAGGACACTTTAATTTTTTTCTTCTAATACTTTATTTAATAAACATTTTTGTCCATGGTTACAAAAGCACCCACTTTTCCCAGGTCACTGGATAATTGGTCATGCATAACAAGTAACCTCCTCTCCATCTTAGGAAATATTAGCAGCAATGTATGTAATTTTACATAACAATCTTGAGCGACCGCTCACCGGTCCGCACGTTCCTCCTCGCTTAAATACGGAACAGGCGTAAGTTATTATTGGGTTTTAACTATTATTTAGAATGTTATTTTGTACAAATTAAAAATATCTTAAATTGAAAAAAATAAAATTTCTTAAAATTGGAAAAAAAAATTTTGAATACCAATGATGCAATTCAAACTCACAACCTTAAGTTCTTTAGAACACATCCTCAACTGACCACCCCATCCATGCGACATGCCCTATTAGTAGTAATGACAGTAATTTACAGTCCTTGCTGAAACCCATTTTGTTTTGTAGGTGTAGGGGGAACTTAAAAAAAGGGCGATGAATGTTTGTTGGAAATCACCTACATTATAGTTTATGTGTACAAAATTTCCTGCACGTCCGTTCAAAACTGGCGACGCTGGATGCTTTTAAAGCTTTTGTAACAAGAACAAGAACAGCAGTGAGGCTCCGGGTTAGCGCCTTGCGAGGACCGAAACATTTTCTTTAAAAACCACATATATCCAGGTACTCATTTTATACTCCAAGGTTTAGTAGAAACTACAGTATCATGCCCAAGGACAAACAGTAAAAATAACCAGCATCCCACTCAAGCTCATAGCCATGTTCAACATTAATGTTAAAGAGAGGCTTTCATTTTACTGTTTCACTTTACTACCGTAATTGTATTTGAGTTGTTTGCCATTTTAATCTTATTCTCCTTCCTCGTCCTCTGGAGATCCTCTGGGGTTTCATAGAGCTTTTGGGGTACAGTATGCGGCATTTCATCTACCAAGCATAGCAAATTTCTATATATTTTATTAGACCAAAAAGTTCTTGAATCTTCAAAGCCTTTGCTAGAGACATGCTTCACACATCACACAATATACTATATTATAAATTATCTATGCTAATATATACTGTACTGTAAAATAGTGACCAACTTTCAGATTGAAAACAATAATATTATAATCTACTGCATAACTCTATGAATATTAAATTGTCCTCACTGTCATTAATGCCATAGCAATACAGTACAGAGTTACCTGCTAAGAGGTCACACTCATCTCAATTACCTACCAACTGTGGATGACCTTTTAATTATTTTACAATTAATCACATGTTCTATAGTAGATTTACTAACTGCACTGCATGCAAAAAAGTAAGTATGAGAAATGCATTCATTATAGCTAAACTTGCCCTGAATGTATTTCTTGGGCAGTATTTTTTAAATTTAAACTGTATTGTGAGATTCTTAAATTATACAGTACGTGTCCCTTTTTCTTTTAGGCCTACTTTACAATTTCAAATGCACTAATTATGCATTTTTTGTATTAAGAAAGTAAACAGTAATAGTAAATAATACCATAATTAATAATATTATTTCTAGCTCTAGTTCAGAAAGGATTCATTAGCAAACTAAACAATCATCTTAACAAAGTAATGTTGCTCAGAAATTACCATTTAAATTATAACATCAAACACATTAAATTAATGTTCACTTTACTATGTTCTAGATAAATTAAACTAATTAATTTTTTTACTAATGTATGTGCAACAACAGTGAAATTATGCTGTTACATGTAATCAAATGTTGATATTAGGCAGCTGGTTAAATGAGAAGTGTGTCAACACACAAATGACATTTACAATAATCTTTTTTGAGAATGTACATACTGTAGTAGACACTGACAGGCCAAAAGTAATCTAATTCAAGCCATAAACAGGATATCAGACATATGAATAATAATCTTGTATGTGTACAGTTTAGTGTGCAGCAACACATACATCCAGTCCGTATTTATTGTCAGTGTATGCAAGGTTCTACAAAAAACGGTGAAACATTTTACGGAATGCTATTTTAATGTATTGAGAGGATGGCTATTGCAAAATATTAAATTTTTTTTTTCAGCAAAAGTGTTTTGCCAAAAGCATCTAGGCAGAAGAGAAGAAAAGAATAAAACTTAATTGATGATTAAAAAATAAAAATGCTTGACGCAAAAAGTACATGAGGACGCCTTTGTTTATATAGTATCTATAAAGTATATTCAGGAAAATGCATAGAAACACACGCAACAAAAACACAAACCATAGACACACAATTACAGTGATGATCTTTGCTTTTAAGAAAAATTAATAGGTCCATGATTACATGTAGACCTAGCATACGGTACAGCATGGATCACTCTATACTGTAGGGTAGCACATGAACTTTGTCTTCCTCTGGGCTATTTATTTTATTAGCTTTAATAATGCTTCAAATAATTTGCTTATATCAGTTATATACTTGTTCATCTGCATTCCATCTTTTTTCTTGTAAAATAATAATAATAAATAATAATAATAATAATAGGAACTTCTACCGCACCTTGTGCCAAGGGATACAAGTTGTAATAAAAATAAATAAAGGCGATAATAATTGGTAATCATCAAAGATACCAGAAGTGACAACAAAACAGAAAATTTAAAATAGCAAAGATCAGAACTTTGTAAATATTAAACATTATAATTTGCCTTTCTTCTTCTTGGTAGCCTACTGTATATTGCACCTTGGTGTGAGTACATGCACTCAAACAAAGCAAGGCCTTTACTGTAGGTTTTGTAAACTATGTTGTGCATGAATATGATGAAAATGTATTATGATGTCATCTCACAATCCAAACATTTCATAATAAAGAGAACTTCAGTAATGTTACTGTTATTACATTTACATTTATTAATTACAAAGAATTATAAAATTAAAAGAAAATTAATAAATCAGCAGTTTATAAATTGTCACTTCATCTTAAAACAGGCCAGCCAGGCTAGAAAAACATCAGTCCAGTTGAAAAATCTGTAGTCTGAACTAGCCTAGAATGCTCATACCAGACTTAATCACTCCCAACTCAACCAAAACAACTCAAAACCCAAAACAACCCAACCCAGACAAGATTCCCAGACTGAGCTTGTGTTACATTTCTACCCTTTAATGGTCCTCTGGCCAACAAGTGACCAATCACAGCTAGTGGTGCAAATGTTCAAGCTTGAAGATTCATGCAGATGACAATAGGCCAACATAGGTCAACTCAGTGGACACTCAACATGTTCATGTTAGCATTATGGTTATAAAGCAATCTTAGTCTTACTAGGCTTGAGCATAGCCTAGGAGGTATTTAAGGGCAGGGTTAATAAAGCATTCAGTATTGGAACAATTGTCCTTGAACTTTTCATAGAAGCAATAATAAATACTAATAGTAAGCACATAAAATATGGTGATCCCCTCTGTGGTTAAAAACAGGAAAATCCCTCAAACGTCAAAACACTGAATTGATAAACAAAGGATCGAATGAGTTATCAGGTATAAGGCACAGATTGAAAACAAGATTTGCTGTTTAATATGATTTTTTAACTACAAAATAAGTCTGCAAAAAAAAAGAAAAAATAATTATTATACTGAAGAGTTTCAAGTATAATCTTCCCAGAAAACGTTATTGGTTACGCATGACAGAACTTGCAACTTTATGAAATTATGTTCCAAATACTGTACATATTTATGGTTAATACTGGGAAAGTGTATAACTCAGATTTTAAAAATTGAGAAATCATCGCAAATGAAACCAGATGACTGCAAACAGCTGTAAATGTTGGGAAATATCAGATCCAAATCTTAATGTATCATGTACTGTAACAAAAATCATTAAAAAATATAGGTTATGGCAAATTGACATGTGGAATGTCAGTCGAATTAATAGATAAAATATATTGCTCAGAGATCTGAATAATTAATATTCACCAGTCAATCAATACGCCGTTACTTAATCTAGACTGGGCCTATACATTGGCTTAGCTTACAAACATTGGTTTTATTACATGTAAACAATGAAATATTTATACTATATAGAAAATGTCTTACCCAAATATCTGATACATTGCTTCTATTTTCATTGCTATTGCTGTTGCAACTTAATAAATCCTTAATTGCTATAATTCGATTTGCGACAAAATCATCACCAAGGATTTTTGCATCATGATAAACAGTGATACAAATATTTTCTGCATTCGTTATTTCTGCTTCGAACTCTTCGTGCCATTCTGGCTTAAACGTCCTTGCTTTTACTGTAGTTTTTCCTATATTGTAGTCATCTACATTGATTGTAATGTAAGGATCTATCAACTGCAACGAACCGAATCTCGACGGAACCAATCTCGACGAACAGGGAGTGGGCTTCAAATCTTCTGCCTCACACACTTTGACGCGTAAAGATCCACTAAAAACAACCATAATTGCACCGCGTGTGTTTTGAAATCTGGAAAATAAACGCAACTAACAGTTGCAATATTCCCTTGCCAAATACGGCACAGATTTAAAGGAATTCCAGAGGAATTGCACTTTCACTTTCATTGAAAATTCAACCTGTCTACGCCTTACCAAGGGTACCGTCTATTCTCTATTCAACAAAACATAAACCTGTTCTGTAATATTTATCTCTCTTCACAAAAAATTTATAAAAATGAAATAAGTTACCACCCAAAAAAAAATATTCGTCTGTTATTAAATTATATAAACAAACATGTACATACAGAGATTAATTATGGTTATCATTTTATGTAATATTATATATTTATTGAATTAAACGTTGCTTAACAACAAAATATTAAGGTTCGAGGCTCAATTTATAAACGAAAATAAAATGGCGTCTGCCAATGTTATTGTTTTGAAATTGTCACGGAGCATCCAGCGGTAAGTAAGAGAGATATAAAACACGCTACCATACCAGCAGGTTACTGTTGGACCAGTCCTATGCATGTATTCATCCAAATGACTAATATAGATGTTTATATGCCATTTTATTCATTTTTTAGTTAGACTAGGCCAGGCCCTGTGGCCAATTTGACTCAATCAGACAAATAGGCTAGTAGGGCCCTAGGCCTAGCCTAGCTAGGCTAGGTCTTATCGTACCCTAGCCTTCCTAGTACTAGGGCAGGCTTTTGGCTATGGAATTGGCCAGCCTAGCCTATGCCGACTCGAATCCCACTGACTATGTACGCCTGTGTGTTCCCAGCGAAAGCTACAATTGTGGATAGGCCTAGCTAGCCTGATGATAGTTATTTTTATTTATTTTATAATTAAATTAAAGAATTAAAGTCGCTTGGATAATTTTTGGAGAGACTAAGAAAGATATGGGGTCTAAAAGGCTAAAACCTAAAACTTACCCATATATTTAATCTTTAATTCGTTTTACTTATTTCTGTAACAGTGACAAAACAAGAAAGAAAAGCACAAAAAAGGGATGTGTGAGAGAGAAAAAAAAGTTGCTCTGTCAATGTTGGTCTCTCAGATCTATCATATAAAATTTAAATTTGATAAAAAGATAAAATATGTGAAAATCTGGAAAAATTTAAACATTTTTTTTAATGTGTTTTTTTTTTATAATTATGTCCAGATTGGTACTGTATGCAACCAAGCCCGTAGCCAGGATTTTGGTAGGGGGGGTTCTTTTTGATACTGAAAGGGCACTTGCGAGCACCATTGCTGGGGCCAGGGGGTTGCCAAGGGCCCCCGGGGGTCCAGGACCAAAACCCAGGCGGGGGTCCAGCATTCTAAGCATTTACAGGTGTTATTTAATTGATTTGAGAGGCCATACATTTAAAAAAATGTATATATTAAAGAGGTAATTTTTTGAGTTGGGAGAAGATAAAAAAAAAAACTACTACTTTAGTGCTACAGTATTGGTAATTTAACAACAGTAGCATGATACAAACTCCAAAGGATCCAGTATGGTTTATTCTTTATTTTTCATTTATATAGCACTTTGGAAGTTGTATCATACTATACTCACTTAAGACAATCAGTACCAAAAAGAACCGAGACAAATTTGTATGGTTGGTGTAACATATTATAATCATGTATATATATGGGGGGTTCGTTCGAACCCAACGAACCCCCCTGGCTACGGGCTTGGCAACCATGCGGAAAATCTGAATAATAGGGCAAAACCAGCAGCCCAGTTTATTAAGTTTCTGATTATTGATTTCATCACACACATAAAATATACTCAGAACACATCCTTATAAAATTTATTATTTATTTTTATTATTATTATTATAAAATTTAACAAATGAAAATCATTAACATACATTAGTAAGTAATAAAAAAAAAACAATTTGTGCTTTTAACTTGTCTTGATGAAATGCCTTCAGCAAAAAATATCATCTGTACGCTGTATGAATGCAGTCTGAGTCTGGAGCAAGGTAACAAGGAATTTTTTTGAAAAATCATTATTTTCTTTCTTCTAAAAAATCCCCTCAGACAGTGACTCCAGTACACTAAATGACTCAACAATTGCCTGGTGAAAGCAACATTGTTTTAATTTAAAATTCCTCTGGTGGAATGCACAATTTTGCCAGCCCTGTTTATAATCCTAACCTACTAGGAAAAGTGACAATGAGTTTTTTATGTAAATTTTTTTATAATACTCATGCCAAATTGATGGTTGGCAGTTACAATCACATTGTGCTTAACAGTAGCAGCTGTTTTTCCAAACAAAATAAAAAGCCCTTTTTCTCATATAAAATACTGATAGCTAACAAAAAGTGAATGGAAACAAACAAAAATGAATTTGGTGTGATTCAGACAACAATTGATGTGGCCAGAAATACCATAATAATCCAATCATTTGTCATGGGCCTTATGGGGCCTAAATGGTAATAACAATCAAGTGAAAATGTTGTTGGAACACAACTGATATCTGGGGTATGCACTAGACCTAACAAAAATTAATTAAGAAGCAAATATGCTTAAAATACAATCTATAAATAAATATAGGTACATTAATAGGGGGAGCAGTAATATACAAATACAACATGGTTTGAGTTAAAGTAGTGAATTCTACTTTCCGAGGTATTGGCGCGCCCAATCATCCAACAACTAGGGAAGCAGAAGTCACTGTATTTCTTTTATTATACCTCATAAATATTAAACAGCAAACCACCCACCTACATTAGCCGTTTTGATCTGTGAGGGCAAAATTACTTAGTTTGCATGTTCACGTACAGTATGCAGGGGTAGAATAGAATGAAAATCTTTCATTATTCTGGATGCACTGTTCTTCCCTGGGGTCCAGGGTATGATCTTAAACAACATTAAATTACAAAAACAAAATTAAAAGAAAAAAATATAATCAAATAAATATATAATAATATGTATATAAATTACATACGGTAAATACAAGAAACAGAAAAGAAAAGCAAATGGGTAAATTAGATGAGATTTTTTAAAGGATTGTAAGGAACGAGAATGAATATTGCTACGAATATCTGAACATTGTGTAATGTGCTAACCAACCATAAGATTATAAGTCCTCAGTTATTGATGTTTTGCTTTGATTGACTCTTTTCCCTCTCCCAGCAATAGTTGTTTTTGGGTAGTAGTTATTTTCACCACATGTAAATCTCTAGTAAGTTTTACCATCTCATTACTAAACAAGGCAAAATGAAGTACTGTGGCATAAGATAGAATGTACAATAGTGTATAAATAAAAAAAGTTTGTTTTTTTTAAATAATACAGAAATGTGATAAAATGCGTACTTGGAGCACACCGTGTACCACAACACATTATTACACAGTCAATGGCATTCAGTGATACATCGAAGGCAAACGAGAACAGTGTTACACTCAGTGACAGTTGTGTAAAAGTAATTCAAAATTTTACAATTTGTTGTAGAAAAAAATGTTTACCATGGATAATGAAATGTTAAAATTAAGGAATGTTTAATTATTAATTGTTTAGTCACTGAGTATGTTGTATTGTTTAAGTGTTTGATTCATTGTTTGGTTAGTTTTCATTTCATTGTTTCTTATTCAATATTTACTATTTTGGACCACAATGGAAGCAAGTTATCTGTATCTGTACAAACACCAATATACTGGTTGTCGCGTACGTTGGTCTGGGCGGTGTGTAGCAACTAAATATTATAAATAATATAATGATCTTTGGTTGTTAATTTATATATGTTGATGGAGTCCAAGGCGGGTTTAAATAACTTGATGTGGTTGATGTGCTTGCCATTTCAGTATGTTAATGTGTTTTTATCCTTAAATATTATTTTTATTATTATTTTTGCATGCAGAAGAAATAAATAATTGTATGAGTGACTAGAAATAAATGAAAAATATTTTTTGTGATAAAAAATGAAACAAATGACAAGTATCTACCTGATTATTAACTTATGCCAAGTTAAAGAAAAAAATATGGATCAGCTGTAGAAATTTGGTAATGGCTTTGATCTCATTCCTCTTTTCATTCATCACAAAGTTGTTTTTTTATTACACATCACTTCTACAATCTCACAACAATTTTTGATCGTTTTTGTAGCAAATCCACAAGATAGGTGAAAAAGACAAATATTTACGGTTGTCAGTTGAAGGAGGTGGTTGTTCAGGATTTCAATACACATTCTCCCTTGATTCAGAAGTTACAGCAGAAGACAAGTAAGGAATGTTTTTTATTGTTAAAATCTGGCTGTACACTATCAGAAATGAAACTAACTAAACAGTTGTCCCAGGAAACATTGAATATTATTTTGTTTGTTTTATTATAAATTTAGCCTCTGAAAAAAAGTTATGTAACTGCATAGAATTAATTTATCATAATTCATAGTTTTATTGAAATGGAAGTCATACCCATACAAATTATTATTATTTATATTTATTTAGATGCACATGCACCAAGGATTGTCAATAGCGAATATATCACTTTACTACATTCACAAGACAAACATATACACACACGCGATGCTTTACACAAACTAAATCTCAATATGAGAAGGCAAGCATCTTAACCACTAAGCTATTCACCTCTACCATAATAAAGAAAATACAATATTCACTTCAAAAACTCAGGACAGAAAATAATTCATGTTTGTTTTGTTTTACCAGAGTATTTGAAAAGGATGGTGCCAAGTTAGTAGTAGATGAGATGTCTCTGGAATATGTAAAAGGTTCCATCGTTGATTATCAAGAAGAGATGATCAGATCTGCCTTCCAAGTAGTTGCCAATCCAATTGCAGAAAAAGCCTGCTCATGCGGCACATCATTTTCAATTAAAATCTGACATTGTGGTCGCCAAATCAACAACTTGTTTTTCAACAGTGGTAAATTTGCAAAAGAAGATACTGTACTGCCAACTATGCTTCAACGCTGTTTTTTTTTTTTTTTTTTGATGTGTCAATCAAATTCTTTGGCTACTGTGATTTAGTACGCAGCTGAAGCGAGTCATATGTTGAAAACTATTTTCAAGTGAAAAAGAACATGATTTCAAATCTGAAAAAAAGTGATATGCTGTTTGTTTTTAGCCACCTTGTTTTGTCAAATTACTTTTCCATTAATTTGATTAAACAGCAGTGTTTTTTTTAAATAAAAAAGATAAAGCTCTGTTCTCATGATCAGATTTTATGACTACTGTATATGGACATAGTGATGTCATATCACTCCATGGGAAAATCACACATATTTATCACATAAAACTGGTTATAAGTCAGTCGTGATGTCATCAGCCTATCCCCCATGCTCCAATAATTTTTCACATAGTGGATGCTTGGCTTGATTTTTTTAGGTTCGTGTGCAAAAAAAAAACCTAATTTTTTTGTCACCGCAAAGATATCACACACCGCAATGAAAATTGAATTGTAATACAAGGGTAATTAGAACCCGAAGAAAGTTACTTAAAATTCAATATTAAGTATTAACAATTAAGCAATTCCTTGAATCAATGAATGCTAATAAATAACAGTTGGTTATCAAAACTAACATTAAAAGCACATTACACATTACACTAGCGTAAAATTATTATACTTGGATTAGATTTTAATGCATTCAAACATTTTTTCAAGCATTAAATCTAATCTTCATATAATTTTCATGTAGTGTACTATGCACAGCTCTACTAATTGCTTAATTGTGTAGACATGCTTAAGTTAATTTTCAGTTGAACCTTACAAGAAAAATATTTTCCTCAATAATTAAGATGCATAAATTATATCGATCTTATTGGCTTGTAGTAGTAAAAAGTCTGTAATAAGTAATCAAAAAATGAATTCATTTACTCTATTGCCCAAGTTTGTGCATGTTTGGTAATTATCAATTGCAGTATGGTACTGTATATTTACTATATTAATATAGTCCTATAAATATTCTAAAACATCATTTTGTGAAAAGGGTATATTATTTACTTTATATTCATATTATGCAATATTGATGAGTGCATTTGCAACTACTGTATTATTATTATTATTTATATAGTATAGATTTAAGGCAACAACAATAACAAACTGAACTGCATTTTTTAACCTACATCTGTAAATAAGAGCTTTATTAAACATAAACAAACAAGGGACATTGTCTTTTCATTTTTTTAATTGAGTAATATATGTTTATCATGTATACTACAATTATTTGGCCTGTCCAACATATAAACAGTCCTGGACTTTGCCTATGAAGACACTTTTTTTACTGTATTAAGTTTACTACAAATAATTTAAGGAATATGCACTCAGAGTAGCGCAGTGTACTTCAGAGCTCTCAAGTAAATACAACCTTTAGGCTTTATAATGACCCCCATTTTTTTAAAAGATAATCACCTACAAATGAATGCCAAACATCATTTCCTGTGATGTCTTTGTAGACACGATGTTTACATGATTGTTTACAATTTCAAGAATTTGTGTGCAAAATAACCATAACCAATGAAAGTGGCAATTATCTCTTCCAGAAAATTTGCATAGTTACTCCTAAGCTTTGAAGTAGCTTTGAATTAAAAAGGTTATGCCCTTGGTAAGCATCATGTGGGCACTCATCTGAAGTAACATGCGCATATATTTGTCTGAAATTATTCAACATACATTTTAGTCATGTTACTACTTTGCAGGGAAGACACTATTCTTTCTTTTTGTCATGGCCAGCCATATCTGTGACCATTAAATATAAAACACACGACTGGTACTGGTATTGGCATTTATAATGCGCCTCTTCCTTGCGGTTATAACGCATAGTTTCTTTCCCTGGTCATTGGGTCCACATGCTAAGTGTTGCTGCTGGTAATCAGCGCAGGAGCAGGCAACCCCACCAAGTACCCATTTATACTCCTGGGTGGAGAGAAGCAATGCAGATAAAGTGTCTTGCTCAAGGACACAAGCTAAATGCACAGCGAGGGATTGAAACCCCGACCTCGAGGTTGGGAAACCAAACCGTTCCCGCTGCGCCAAACCGCTTCATGAGTTCTCGTCACTACAGATTTCAATTTTCCTTCAATTCTTTTTCCAAAAACGTAAATAAACATAAAAATTACAGTACAAAAAAAGTAAGATTAAGAGGTCTATTTTACTAAGCTTTGATGCAAGAGTAGCCTTGTATAAGAAAGTTGAATAAATAATTAATACTAAACACAAAAATAAATGGAAAATTTGAACTACATGAAAAAAACTTTGTAACTACATGACAACAGTTATTAGGCCTACCCTGTTATACTACAAAATAAGATGCTTATAATTACAGTGCTACACATATCTGTCTAAGGAAGTTGGGTTTCAGTCCCCAGGTCATTGGATCCATAACCAATATGTACACAATCCACTCCCTGTGGAGCACATTCCATTCATGAAGCAAGAATCTACATGCAGACTAACAGGCCTAGCCGAATCACATGACAGAATGTTGCAGGTTACCCATATACCGTTGTCTTCATCAAGCAAATTCAATTTGTGTCGGTGGTAATTGATGAGGCATTGACGGTATCAATGCTACATCAGCTGTAATTCTATTTTATGACAAAAGCTATTTTTTAAAAAAATGACATATTTAAAACTGATTTTGTACATAATAGCCTAAACATTAGAGACATTCCAAAAACCTCCAAGGCTAAACATAAAAATAAGCTTTGCCCCCTCAGATATGCCAAGAGTGGTGCTGCATTTTCTTGCATGAAATTATGATTACACAAGACCCATTGCTAATCTATTAAATATCAAACAACACATATTACATTTTCCTGGAAATATTGCACAAGACTAAATAACTAATGTAAACAAAACTATACTAAATAAATACTAAATAATTTGGTAAACATACAGACTAAAACTGCAGTAGGTATTTGGGAGCTAGATGTAGTCCCAACTGGGTGCTACATTAATGTCTCCAAAATAGCAGAAAGATGCTAATTTTAGGAATTCAATGCTTGACTTCAAAATTTGAATATACCGGTAGGTAGCTGGTGAAACCCAGACCTACCCATTAGGGAAACAATCGATAAATTTAAAGCAGTGGCTATGTCTATGCCGAATTATGCAAATCCGAACGCGCTCATGGGTTGAATTTGCTTTACGTTAACCTTAAAAATAACTTTGCCTATGTTAGTGCACTACAACGTGACGTCAGATAGGCGTAGATGCAGCCAGTTTGTAAATTTAAAGGGAACAAGCAATGGATTAATGTCCACTGTCCAAAGGTGCAAGAGATCCTGCCAACGATCCTGATGTTAATGCTGCAGTCATTGAACCAACATCCATAATGGAATGTCTTCTTAAAAAGTACAGAATCTTCCACAAGCTGCAACAAATACTTAAGGAAAATCTGAGATGACGTGGTAAAGGCAATACCGAGGGAACTCGCAATGATCGCCCCAACTTACAGCATTTACATGCGGCAGTAAAGGGAGCTACGTGCACAGCGCAAAGCACAAACACTTAAAAAAAAGAGACTTTTTGTGTCTTGAAAAGGACCTCTCTCAGGAAGCTAGATCCACTATCAAGGAAAATCTACTTTGTGTCAGAGGTCACTTACAAAAAGAGCTGGCCTACCATATTGCTTTAAGCACCCGAGCATTGTTCCAAAGGACTCTTCACTAACAAGTGCGCTATCGCGGCAGAAACAGTATTCTTATTCATCAAAGAAAAGTATTACTTGCTTAGTTTTACTTGGTTGTAGAGACGAAAGCAAAGCTTATACGCCCATCCTCAGTAGTTGATTGGTCGGGTCAAATAAAAGGATGGTACAAACTAGGGTGATATGAGATTTTGCAAGGGCAGATTTGAATTGGTTAAAAGAGTCAATACTAAGAACATTATTTTGCAATGCATTCCATTCATTTACCAAGCGAATAGAAAAAGCATACTTTCGAATATTTGTATTAAAGTGCTGCTTACAAATTTTAAGTGGATGGCCACGTGTTTTCGAAACAGTATCTAATTGAAAAAAACATTTGACAGGCAAATCTTTTCAAAATTTTGAAAATCTGAATGAGATCCGCACGGATTCTCTATAAAGTAATTAAGGTAACTTCAACTTCTTTATCTGCTCTGACAAGTGAGGAAAGTTGGAAAGAAAGTCATCAGAAAGCAAAGCTTATACGCCCATCCTCAATAGTTGATTGGTCGGGTCAAGTAAAAGGATGGTACAAACTAGGGTGATTGATATGCGCCTTGAGCACCATTGGTGGAGATGTGCGCTTTATAAATCTTTATTATTATTATTATTATTATTATTAAGATATTATCTCATCTGTCCAGGAGAAAATATTCTCATTTTGAAGCTGACATAAGAAGAATATGTGAATCCACTCTACAGATCAAATCATGCCAACCTGAGTCCCAGGATTTGATTAAATTATTGGCTTGCTAAGAAAAAAATCACATGATATTGCTTCAAAAAATGAATAAAATCGAGGGGGCTCTTATTCAAATAGGGCTCTTAAGAAAATATTTACACTAGGAGAGGCGATTATTTGAGAGGGACGCTTATTCAAACGGGGCGCTTATTCGCGAAAGTACAGTAAATATTTTGTAGGTTCCATTCCCTAACAATTTTCGCTATTCTAGAAAATGAACTAACAGTGTTTGAAAAATAGGTTACTTTTTAATTTATTATATTTTTCTCTTTAAAATTAACTTTGGTCTTCAAAAGAGACACTGGTTTCCAACTCTCCTGGCCAGTTCACCAGTTCCTTGTTTTAGATGCTCCACTTGTACAGTACTTTTGAAATCATCTATGTTCACATAGCAGCCCTGAAAAATTAAAGTTGAAAAATTAAAATCATAAAATACAAAACAATATAAAATACATGGTTAAATCATAGTTCACTTTAAGGTTAGCAAACTTTTTTTCTTCATGTTATGAGTAGTCATTTGCGTGGCCGAGCACTAAGACAGGGGCACCACTAACTACAGCCTTAACATCGGCACCGGTTCTAGCCGATCCTCGCCATGGTTTGGTTGGTAAAAACATGTCTTCTCGGATAAGGAAGAGGTCCAGTGTACACAGCTGGCTTGTGTGTACTTTATAGAACCTATTGCCTCTGTCGGAAAAGAGGGGGTACCACAATTTTATTATTCATTTCAGCCCGTAGTGAAATGATGTGAACTAAATAATTGAGGAACAATCCCCTACATAATTAAGCACATTGACGCTGCAAATTATAGGTTATTCTCCTACCTTTACTTTTGCCAAAGTTATAATTAAAATGATTATGGCCTCTCTGTACTAAAG